AGGCTACAAAGGCAAGAAGTGACTGGCTTACAAACTTTCAAGAGGGAACCTAGATCCAGAGGGCATGGAGCAAGGCAGAATCTCCACTAAGTAGTATCCAATCTGTCTAGGTGGGGCTGATGAAATAGATGCAGATAGGCCTCTTGGATACAATAGTGAGTAACTGTTATCAGGACTGATTGTAAAGGCTGAAAATGTAAAGGTAGATGTTTTGTGGCAAAAGGAGGGGAGTGATTAACTTTTGGGGGGGGCGGGGCAAGGCTTGCAGGGTGTACCCTTTGGTTGGTGGATGATGTTAACCATGGCAAGGAAAAGATATATGATGGGATCAATGTGAAGCTAATGTTCTCCCACATAAACTATCACATAATTCACAATAAAGCATTAAAAAAAAAGAAAGAAATTTCAACACATAGTTTATTTTCTAATTTTTACCAAATTAATTACAGCTTAGATTGATTTCACAAAAATGGGAAATTAAGGGCTTAATAAAAGAGTATGCGTATTACTTATTGATCATCCTGACAGCTGACATTTTACATTTATGATAAAAGTTTAAAAATCTACAAATGCATGTAATGATGTAGTTTGGCTGTTACATCACTACGTAGTGATCTATTTAGTAATCTCATGTGGTTATCCTCCATTTTCAGAAAATGCAGATTTTTACAAACTGGTTTAGTCTTTGGAACCTAACCATGTTGAAAAGTGAGGCGAGGGTATATTATTTTGAAAAACTCTTCAACAGTGATGGCAGAGAAAGAATACTTTATTGTAGACTCCAAACATACAATCACAGAAAATAACAGAGCTACAAGGGACCAAAGAAATTCCAATTCCTATAAATAGAATAGACAACCCTCTTACTTTATATATAAGGAAAAGCAACCCCAAAAAGTTCACATCACTCACCTAAGAGGTCATTCAACTATAGCCTTGAGCCAAATCTTCAATCTTATCCCAGTGTATTGTCACTAAATCATAACAGTCTTCTGTTAAAAAGAAGAAAATAGGATGGTTTTTTGCTTGTTTGCATTTTTTAGATATGCCTAACAAACATGCATTGCTTCTATAATGTAAAACAAGTTGTGTTTATTTAGTTAGGCAGAAAGCAATTGTAGCCTACTAAAAGATGCACTCCTGATGTGACGCTGTAGGATCAGCATTGGACTGCGAACCACGAGGTCATCGGTTCACACCCATCAGCTGCTCTCGGAAACCCTACACAGGGTTGCTATGAGTCAGAACCAACTCAAAGACACTTAACAACAACAACAACAAGAAAGGTTGATGAATTGGAATCAATTCAATGGCACTGGGAAGGGAAGTGTACAGAAAGCAGAAGGATTACATTCATGAACTATACAAACATCTTGTGTAAGTTACTTAATTTGTTTTTCAATCTTTCCTCGTAGAGAAGATAATAACTATACTGCTAATGAATTATTCTATAATACACATAGAAAGCTCTCAATATATGGTGGCCTTTGTTAATTATAAAATTATCAAAACATTATAAAGCTTTAACCATAATGCCAATAATTTAGTGCTCGACCCAATAAATCTGTTTTGGAAGAAGTGCAGCCAGAGTGCTCCTTGGAGGCCAGGATGGCTAAGCTTCATCTCTCCTACTTTGGACACATTGTCCGGAG